TAAAATTTATTTTATAAATTAAGCTTGGTAATAAATATCTGGTGAATAGGAAGCATGTTGGACTCAATAATCAAGACCCCAAATCAACTAAAAGACCCCAAAGTAGCAAGATGTAGTGATGCACACCTGTAATCCCAACCCTCTGGGAGGCTAAAGCAAGAGGATCACAAGTTCAAGTCCAACCTGGGCAAATTAACGACTTTGTCTCAAAATAAAAAATAAAAAGAGCTGAGAATTCAAGCAGTCCCAGACTGGGACATTTTTATATAGTTTCAATGAATTAACAGATCTAGTCTGTGTGATGGTGCCTGAGGAGGCAGAAGTGAGTTTGAGACCAAGGGTGTGGGGAGGGAGAGAGGGAAAGGGAAAGAGGTGAGGAGAAGGAAAAGAGAGGGGAGGGAGAGGGAGGAAGGAGAAGGGAGAGGAAGGAAAGAAAGAGGGAGGGAGGAAGAAGGGATCAGCAGATTTAAAAGAAAAACACAGAAAACTGGTAATCAAGGAGTTGTGCTGGGCAGTGTGCATCCTATCTTCACCCTCAGAAAGACTGGCCCGGCCCCTAGAATTTGCCTGCTTCTTTACTTTCTGTTCTCCAGGTCTTTATTCACCTACCCCAGTCGCCCCAGGGCCCTGCTCCAGAGCGTTAGAGGCAGCCCCCAAAGCCCAGAGCCCACAGAAGTTATGCAAAGTAGCCCATCTTAAAGTGCTTACCCTCCTCCCTCTCCCAAGGAAACCACGATGAAGTCTCTTGCCAAGCTTTGGGCCTTGCTGTCTCTACCTCCCGACCAGTGCTGGTGCCTTTCCCTGCCTCGTGTTTCAACAGATCTATACACAGGAGTTTTTCCCGCATGCCGCTCACTTCTGGGTTTGCGGGTCTTCGTTCCGCACCTGATTAAAATAAACTCTGGGCATGTGTTGTATCTCACCCTTTTTATTTTACTTGGCTTGTATCGATCTATTTCAATTGCCATATAATAATTGTATATATTTATGGGATACAATATGATTACTCAGTATTTATATACAATGTGTAGTAACCAAATTAGAGTAATTAACATCTCTCTCTTTAAATATTAATCAATTCTGTGTGTTGAGAAACTTTGAACTCCTTTTTTTCTACCTCTTTATCAAATATAAAACAAATTCTTGGGAGCAACAGTCATCTGGGTGCATTTTAAACTGTCACAATCTCATCCCAGTGCCAGTGAGCTAGCACATTTCTAACTAGCCTGAGATCTTTCATCAAACTAAACACAGAAAGATCTCTTCTTGCTTCCCTTTCATTCACCATCCAGGTGCCATGTCTATAGGAACGGAGTATTCTGGAGCGATCCTATCGTATTTCTCAATGGCCAATTTAATAAATGAAATTTCTAGGTTTCAACATCAGTCGTGTGGGCTTATTAGTTTGAGTCCATTCTTGAAAGATCTGTTTGTGATCAGGTGGGCATCAGGCTCCTGAGCCTTTATACTGAGAGTCATGGTATAGCATCTTGAACCCCAAAATATGATTCTGAGGTCAGTAACACCAGCATCACCAGGTACCCTTGTTAGAAATACATAACAGATCTATTGAATCAAAATTTATATTGTAACAAGATTCTAAGTGATTTAGATTGTATATTCCAGGTATTTCTAAACTTTGAAACTTCAGTAGGGATGAGCAAAGCTTTTCTGGAAAGAACCGAATAGTAAATACCTTCAATTTTGTGGGACATAGGGCCTTTGATGCAACTATTCAATTTGGCCATTTTAGCCCAAAAGCAGCCACAGACAATATGGGAACAAATAAGCATGACTGTGTCCCAATCAACTTTATGTATGGATACTAAAATTGTATTTCATAATATTTTTATGTGTCACAAAATATGTTATGCTCAATCACTTAAAAAATGTAAAAACCAGGACCAGGGATTTAGCTCAGTGGTTCTGCCATCTGACTCACAAGTGCAAGATCCAGAATTTGATCCCCAGTACCAAAAAAAAAAAAAAAGTAAAAGCCATTCTTATTTTGCAAGGCCTCACAAAAATGCATAACAGGCCAGATTATCCTATGGGCCATAGTGTACCCTCCCATGCTCTTTAGTTGAGACCATGGAAAACTGAGGGTCAAAGTGACCCTATGAAGCCAATCATTCTTTGTTGATCCACCCCCAAAATCCCATAGGCCAATTTAGAATTTTCCTCCTTAAATTTTCAGAGACGGAGGCTTTTCCTTGTTTTGAGCAAACTGCACGAGGATAATTCAATATCTTTAAGTAATTAAAAACCTAAACTAACGCACTAGAGAAATTCTAGAACATAGATGTAGAAATTGACAGAGTGAACTGACTCCCTCATAGAACTGTAACATGAGGTGCAATATCAGTGTTCCGCTAAAACAGGAAATCTCCAGTTTATTTCACTGGTCACCTGCATCATATGGCCATAAGCCACAGTGAGGAAATGGTGGACCAATGAACTCTACAGTGACCGTGCACCAAGGATGAGCAAAACTTGTATAACAAAGTACAGAAAGAGAGAGCGTGGAGCACCTATCGCTTGATTTGTGATCTATGTTTCTGTGTCCAGAATGGCAGGCATATCCAAGTCCCTTGACTTCCTGTGACCATTTGTGCAGCAGGTTTTCCACCTGGAAAAAGGCTGCAAACAACACATCAGCCCTGACATTGTCTCATTCACCCAACAGCCACAGAAATATTCTAGCCACCAATGCTGGGTGAAATTTTCCCAGTCAAATCAGGCGACTTGCCTCTTCATTCTAATTAGTGATAGGAGTTGAATTTACAGTGTCGTTCTTACTATTTGAATCATTAGATTCTTCTTCTCCCTAACTGGATTAACTATTCCCCAGAAAGTATTTCACCCATGATACTTTAAGGAACAACTTCAAATAACTGTAAAGCTCCTATAGGTAATGTGCTTATACATTTCTAGGCATCATTTTCATGTTAACAGTTTTATAACCTGAATAAATTTTTATTTTTTCACCATCATTACATAAATTTCTAATTGTATGTATTTATCCTTAGTTCTAAAGGCTAGAATCAAAATATTTCATGGTAGTTCCTGAAATTTATATCTTCTAAGTTCCCTTAAGTGTTCCAATGTGTAGAGATTAAGAACCACTGCTTTGGTGACTAGAACACAGAGGTGATATACTTTATTATTAAATATTGATTTTTTTTTCAAAAGTTTTATAAGATGCACTGTTTTGTAAATTTTAAAGTCCCATTTGACCCAGCTATTCCTCTGCTGGGTATCTTCCCAAAAGAATTAAAACAATCATACCACAGCAACATATGTGCACCCATGTTTATAGCAGCAGTTTGTAATAGCTGGAACTTAGAAACAACCCAATTGCCTATCAACTGGAGACTGCATAAAGGAGATGTGTTTTTTGCTAATAAAATGGAGTACTACTCAGCCATAAAGAATGAGAAACTAGAGACATTTATAGCTAAGTGGATGCACATTGAGGCCATACTATTAAGTGAAATTAATAAGACACATGTCTAAATACTAAATAGTTCCTCTGGTGTGAAAAACTAAAAGTGTAAATAAAGATCAAAATGTATAATTGATATTATATAATAGGAAAAAAAAGCTCTAAAAGAGTAGAGGAAGTGGGAGGGAGAACAGAAAAGTAAAAAGGTAAAAGAAAAACTATGAGAAAAGGAAAAACGTGGTAAGAATGTCTTTGTAAACAGGGAAGGGTGGAGGGGGTGAAGGGAAGACTGGGGAGTGGGGAAAAAATAAGAACCAGGATAAGTCATGTACAGGCACAAGATCCCAGTGATGAATGGAACTGTACTGTATACCTAAAATGTACGGATAAGCTTAATTTAAAAAGTAATAATAATTTAACCCTCCATGTAATGGCTTTATAGGGGACACCGATGATTAAAGTTATCCTTTTAAAAAATAAATTAGAAATACTACTGAGAAAAATAAGCTTTTAAAAAGTGTGATTCTTCATGAAAAGTACTTGCAGAATATTTGTAGGATCAGTACAGATACAACTAAAGCTTCCAGTTTTTATTTTATGTAACTACTGTACATGGGCTTTATGAGTTAAATAGGATCCAACAGCACCTTCCCTACTGTCCTGGAAATATGACTGTTTGTCACTTCTCCAGCATTTCCGTCACTTTTATTCTTTAAGTCAGACGGTTAATTCCAAAATGAATGTGCACCAAGTTACCAAATAAACTTGCTTCACTGTTATTACCTTTGTTTCTATTGGTGATTATTGGTTATAAACTATTTCATTTCCATCCAAATTAGGAGCTGTGCTAAACAAGATTCCTCAGAGTATATCTCCACCATCATCCCTGAACTTTGCAAAGGCCTGTTATAAAAACAGGGAGGAAGGACAGGAGGTCCTGTACACCCCCTACTCCAACCTTTGTGTTCTCAGAAGCACCTCAGTAAGGCAGAGTAGCCCCAGAGTAGCTCCCTGGGTATCAGTCCTCTTGGTTTTCACTCATGGATAAGGGAGTAGAAATGTTTGGCTTTGTTTTAAATTTTTTTGTCATTGTTTTGTAGTCCGAGGAGGAAAAAAGATAATTAATTGGTTTTAAAGCAACTCATCAAGTTAAATAGAAGCTGAAGGCAATTTAATAATAATAATAATTTAAAATGTTAATCACTGAGTGTGGCCTGTGCCAGGCACTGCACTAGGACATTTTCTGTACATTATCTCATTCAGTCTCCACTGCAGTGCTCCAGTGTAGGTTAAGTTGAGTTGGAAATGCCCACCTGTACACTTGAGAAACCAAACATGGGAGTGGATTAAGTAACTTTCACAAAGTTAGTAGGACCAGTGTTCTACTTACATCTGTAGAACTGAAGTCTACTGGAAGGTCTTCAGAATTCCAAAACCCACCACCCTAACCTTTCTAAACAACACTCCAAAAAGTCAAAACTACCGCAGCGAAGGCAAATGTCCTCTTTTAGTATAACCTGAAAAAAAAACAAAATGGGCCCCTTGTGTCACTCACCCTTTGCTTGCCTTCCTAGCCACTTGACTCTTGGTTAATAATCAGTCCGCTCCAACAGGTTAATCACCTCCTGACCAGTCTGTTTGTAACTGGTCAATTCAGTAGAAGCAGTCAAGCCAGCAGCCGTCTTGAATAGCTGCCTTGGGAAAATGGTCCCTTCATTTCTGGACTGAGACATGGGAATGAGACACTGCCAATATTATCAGGGAAAATATCCAACTCAGAGGGGAAAAAAAATCAATTAAAAATTTAAAAACAAAGTGCACATCACATTCTAAGTTTGTTTCTGTGTTTTTTTAGCATGAATATTCCTTGATAGTTCCTGTACATACGTGTAAATGGATGCAATGAATATACTTGTGTATGTGAATGTCTGTATGTATGGAAGACGCACACACAGATTACTAGCAGGTGAGCATAAATTAAGCCAAGTGTGAATCCTGTTCTTTTTTGTCTGTTCTTCCACACCTGGTGGATTTAAACCCCTACAGGTCATCCTGTCAAAATACAATTTTAGTTCTAGATAAAATAACAGAACAAAAACAAACACAATCCATTAAAACTCATTGCCAATGTTGCCAGATGACTACGAAAAAACAGAATGTCTCAGACAGAAATATCAATAACTTGAATGCGTGCGATTTGTTAACAGGGAAGAAAACAAGCAAACTTGCTCTCCGCTGACTGTCACTAATATTTATTCGTCCAGTGACTGTTAATCAAACCAAGTTTACAGTCCTGTACAGCACCTGTCACAGGTGCTGATCATTAATCAGCTATTACAGCAGTTTATTCTGCTGCTGACAACTCGCAATTTTCCACTGATTCAGCTAGTTTGTCAGGTGGGAATTATGGCATAGCGCATGTGACAAAACACATCACCCTTTTTTTTTTTTTTTTTGCATTTTCAGGCTTCTCTCTCCTGCTTTCTCCCCCTTTTTAGACAAACAATATCTGGGAACTCAGAAGTAATAAGGCGGAATGCATAATTAATTACCCAGCTTGCTCTAATTAGGGATGAATAAGTTGTGTCCCTCTCATCATCACAAATGTGGTGATGGGTAATACCAGTTTATGCTGTATTAACTGCAAATATGCAATCCTTCTGAGAGCACTTTTGTTGATGAATTTGATGAATGTGACAATAATTAGCAGAGACAGATGAGAGCTAAATTACTACTGACAATGTAATGCTATCCTGCTCGAGGGCCTGGGAACGTGGCAGGGTAACATGGCAGGGACCTGGGGCTCGTTTCTAATTAATAGTCTTTTTTTTTTCCTTTCCTTTTTTTTTTTTAATTTATTTATTTTTTTTTCTTTTTTGCCAGTGGGGGGAAAAAAGAGTAACGGTAATTGTTTTCGTCAAAGGCTGCAGGGAGTTATCAGGGTAATAAAGTTAATTAGCAGAACAAACATCCTTTTCACTGCCTTACCAGTCTGAGGAAAAGAGGGTAATTCAAACTGCAGAAAGATATGACTAGATAGGATGATAAGAAAAGAAATTTTACACAGGAGACCCACAGGGAAGAATACTTTTCCTCCTTCATTTCTTTGGCTTGATACATGGAAAGGAAGACAGCACCTTTCAGTTCAAGTGAAGAACTTTATTGTTATTATTTTGAGTCTGAGAAATAAAGTTAGCTCAGCTCGAATTCCACTTGGAAGTAGTGATGGGTTTTTTTCCAACTTCATCTTTATTCTACTAGTATTTTCCAAATGTCTCAAGGACAGATGTGCGCTCTAATATTTGCCAAGAGAACTTTTAATCGCACCTTGACCTAAAGAAATCTGTTTCATTCTCTGAATCTTTAGGGAAAAGTAAGAAATCACCAAGTAATGTCTACCAAGATTGGTTTATTCTCATGCATAAATCAAAAAATTAAAATGAGATTTTTAAAAATACAAGTCATTTTATTCTATTTTTGTAATTTCAACCATCATTTTTGTCAAAGTTATCAACATTTTCATTTTTATTATAGAACTTTAGGTATATGAGTAACCATTCAAAAAGATAAATAGTTTATTAAATCTAAGTTTTATGTTTTAGATTTTGGTCACATTGCTTAACCTAAGTACATACAGCGTAAAAAGAAACCATTCACCAGACATGCTAAAGACTTTATTAGCTCATACTCTCACCCTAAATATCACAAGTGGCTTCAACATCAAATACTTGCAACAAGGTAGGGGATTTAGCCCAGTGGTTCCAGTGTGTGCCTTGCAAGTCTAAGTACCGGAGTTCAATCCCCAGTACAAAAAAAAAAAAATAGAAAAGAAACACTTGCAGCAATTCTCTAATATTACATGAATAATACTTGGATGAAAATCTGAGATCTTCTAAAATAATACTCACCAGAAGGTGTGTATAAATTTTATCCCTTTTAGATACATTTCTAAAAAATTATCCTTTACAAATCATTAGGCATCTCACAAGTTCTACATATTTACAATGCATACAAACATACAGACATTCACATATTAGTTAAGTGCAACAGCCTTTCATTATGACTATTTGATTCTGTTATAAACATGGGTAAGTGAATAATGAATTTCTTCTTTGGTAATTGACAGCCTGACACCAGGCTGACTCTTCAGCATAGAATCTTTTATGGATAGACTTCTACCAAAACTGGGTCAAGCTTCCAGGAAGACATTCTTAATTATTATTTGTTTGTTTGTTTGTTTTGGTTTGGTTTATTGAGACAGGGTCTCACTATGTAGTTGAGACTGACCTGGAACTTTCTACGTAGCCCAGTCTGGTCTCGAACTCACAGCAATCCTCCTGCCTCAGCCTCCCAAGTGCTGGGATTATAGGCATGCACCACCACGCCCAGCTCTTAATTCTTAACATCTACAGTAGTAAAGTGTTGTGCTAGTTGCCAAAGAGCAGTGTGATAATGGAGAATGTAGCACTGAACTAAGAACTGGAAGAGCTGAGTTCTTTAGGGACTGTGCTAACACTGGTATGACCATGATCACCTCACTGTTACACCTCTCTGATCCTTTGATTTGTTCATCCATGAAATTGAGTGTCTTGCCTTGCCAACTTCCTAGGATTGCTATTGACACAAAAGAAATAGTTTTTCAACTTTGGAAACCATAATGTATTCTATACATATATCCTGTTAATATTTTTATAAGTAGAAAAAAACATAAGGAGTAATCTTGAGAAAATCCATCTCCTTTTCTTAGCCCTCCCCTGTGTGACTTAGTCAGGAACCAGCGTTAAAAGATTAGACAAGAAGTTTTTATCATAAGAGAAACTGAAAGTTAGCTTTCCTTTGTGATTTTGCTGATCAATTTGTCAGAAAAAAAAATTATCATAGTAAAGATACTCCCAAACTCATTTGCTCAAACCTATCTCCTTTTCAAGATTTTCTTCATCTACTGTTAGAGGAGCCTGTTAAAGAAGCAAAATGTGAAAAGAACTAATCATCAGTCATTGTCAGAAGACCCTATAGGTTTGTCTAGGGAACTTCCATTTGAACTTTTTCTCATTTCTCACAGACAGGCAGGAACACACACACACACACACACACACATCCACACATTTACTTCATGGTTGGGCTCAGTGTTGACCTAATGGGGAAATTTGATTTGGTTCTCATCCAGTTCTGTTTGCAACCAGAATCGTGGCAAGAATTGAGTTCTTGAATCAAGGTACCACTGCATTGCTATATTTTGGTTAGCAACATTTTTAGGTTTTTATTATATAATCAAACTTTATGTTCAAATAGAAAAACTACAGGAGTACAAGAAGTACTAGTTGTACTTCCAAAAGCTTATAATAGTTCCTATGTTGCTACTATCCAAGCCAATAAATTTTAAAATAAGTTCACTTATCAAGAGAGAAATTATAAAAGAGGTAACACAAAAAACCTAAATGGGAAAGTTTGTTTTTTCCTAAAAGGAACTAATTTTTATTGTAAGAGAAGAAGTAACAGAATACATTTGTCTGTGTTGTCTGGGACCTACGTGAAATGTACTAGGCACTGATTATCCCCCCTCTAGCTACTATCTGCTTCATTGAACCACAAAGTATTTCTGTTTGGAAAAGTGATGGAACTCAACCACTTTAACCTGATTAATCTCTAAGGGAGGGCCAGGGTTTTAGCTCAGTGGTTGTGCTGCCTGCCTCAGCAGTGCAAGGTCCCAAGTTCGATCCCTGGTACCCGCCCCCCCAAAAAATCTCTAAGGGATATTGAAAATTGTAAGACTTTCTATGGAGTTCTTAAATGCCAGAAGCCTCTAAAAAAGCTATTATTCATAACCTCAAGAATTTCTTTTCTTCTTTGGAAAGAGACCAAAATGTTGTAAATAAATAATAATTTTCAGCATCAGCCTATTGGCAGAACTAAAAACACCTTAGGGAATAAAGTTTTTAGGAGTTAAGGATTCACCTATCAGAGACTCTAGTTAGACTGGCTATATGTACCATTGGTATTATTCTGAATCTTTAGGAATTTTCTTTCTTTTCCTTTTTTATTTTGAATTTCTGATTTTCATTTTAAAGTATAATTTGACAAATTCAGTTTATAAAGGCTCTGGGGCATTTTTATTTCTTATGTGAGTGCAAAGGAGTGTTAGGTGGTTAACTAATTACAAAGGGCTAAAAATAAACCATGGTTTATATTTTCAGATTCTGAATTACAAAATTATTTAAATGCTGTCTGTAATCGAAGTACTACATTACTACATAATGAAATTACAATACTGCTTAATGACATTAGGAAACTGCATGCAAAAAAATATTTGTACACAAGGTGGTGATGTTAGCAACTGCTACAGTACTTTTATTCTGCTAAAAACTGCAATAAACAACAACAGATTATTTTCTGAGTGATTTCCAAAGGGCACATTCAGTTGTTCATATAATGACAGCATTTCAGGGCATAGAGTCGTATTTTTAAAAAATAACAAGGACAGGGGATTTAGCTCAGCAGTTTGGTGGCCTGCCTTGCAAACACAAGGACCCAAGTTCAATCCCCGGTACCAACAAAAAAAAAAAAAAATTAAAAAATAACGAACCTGTCAGCACATGTCATTAGCGTAGGAGAAAAAGTTCATACCAAAAAAATAAAAGAATAATGCCTAAAGAGTAAATAAGAATAAGATATATTTACATGTA